TCGCCACCCCTTTCTTCGCCCTCGCCCTTTCTTATCCCCCTTCCCTTTTTTCCCCCGGTGGGGGTGGGAGCTCCCCCCCCCCCCGCAGACGTGGCCGCCACGGTGCCCCCCCCCGCCAACCCTCTGTCCTCGAGACGCTTCTCACGCCCATCCTCCTCCCCCCTGGAGTGGTGGCACCGGCCCTCCGCCTGCTTCATGAGCTCTTCCTTGTCGGCATCCCACGACGCGCCGCCCACCTGCAGCCAGCGTTTCATCCACGGTTCGGGCGGAGCTGCTGCCGCCGCCGCGGCCGCCGCCTCTACTTCCGCAGCAGCAGCGGCCCTTTCCGCCGCCGCCGCCGCCGCCTCTGCTTCCGCAGCAGCAGCGGCCCTTGCCTCCTCCTCCTCTTGTGCTTCGTCGCTCTGGGCGCCGCCCCTGTTATTCACTGCGGCAGCCCTCCTCCTGCCCTTTGGCTGCCCCTTCTTCTTCCGCAAGCCGGCGGCAGTGTCCCCCTTCTTCCCTCGACCGCGGGGCCCCTCGGGCTCCGAGGCCGGCGGTGGCGGGGGGGGGGGGACGTCACTCACATCCTGCACATAGCAAAAAAAAGAAAACCAGCACGGAGAAAAGAAGGGACCGCATAAGCTGAACTCACACAGGAGGCAAGCGCGGGAATCGTAAAGGAAGAGGACGCACAGCGGGGGGCGTGGGCTGCATGCGAGCTTGGAGCACGCGCGTGTATCTCTCGCTTAACGCAAGGGGGCAGCGCCAAGCTGAGCCGGACCCACCAAAAAGCTGCTACTGCTGCTGCTGCTGCTGCTGCTGCTGCGACTAGTCAAAGTAATAGAAGTAGCAGAGAGGTGAGTGTTTGCTTGTGTGCACGAGATCGGCGAGGGAGGACGGGGGGGGGGGGGTCGGGCGCTACATCTTCGTTGAATTTCTCGTTTGCTGTCTAAAAGCCAAGACTATGTTATTTCCACTATGCTGCAGGGGAGATGCGGTTGGGACAATTCTCGGTCGCGACGGAGCGACATACCGTGGTGAGGGGCCCGGTGTAGCGACCCCCTGTTTAGCGACATGCCCTGCACAGAGACCACAAAAATGCGTGGCACCAACAGCCGTTTGCATACCACCAATAGCGGCCTGCCCTGAAAAAAACCAGCAGCGATCATCATATTTTTCCTCCTGACACGATTACGAGGGTTCGCTAAACCGGCCCCGTCACAAACTGTACTTTCAAAGCTCGAGATGCTGTACACGCGCTTGCTCTTGGGACACTACATATCGTCGTGCTTTGGCCTTGATGGGACCATACCGCCCGTCACGACATGACCTCAAAGAACGGCCACGTGGATTCTGAATGCATTCTGCCCCCATAACCGAGGATCACCTAAAGTAAGTATTGGAATGGATGAGGCCTGCTGCGCCATCCGGCTAATTTGTGCCTGGAATATGTAGACGCTGACCCTAGCAAGCAAAGTCGGAGGAGGAACTGCCCAGCAAAAAAAAAAAACTTGCCTCCTTATGTACGTAGCAAGCAAAGTCGGAGGACGAGGTGCCCGAAAAAAAAAAACTTGTATGGTATATATACTTGCCTCCCCCGCGGTCGGTTTCGTAACGTAAAACACGCCTCTGATGAACACGAAACCCCGCGCCAAGGCTAAGCCCTTTTGCCGGGAAGAGCCTGGTTCTGGAGGCGGCATCAACACTTTGCCTTGAGCGTCGCCGCAGCAACCTTGCCGCCGTTCTTCCATGATGCGGTCGGTGAGGCACGGCGGCATAGCCTCTAAGAACACAAGGGGGGGGGGGACGCAGACGATAAATTTCCAAGAGCGTTTGAGATAATTTGAGGATTCGGGGTAGCACAAATCCGTGGTTTGTGGAAGCATATGTTAGAATTTCTTGATAGTGAAAGAAATTTCTTGACACATAGAGCGATGAGAGAGAGAGCCTAATCGGGTCAGAATTTTTGTGATGTAGTGTTATTGGTTGTTCGGCCGATTTCGGGCGGGGTAAAAAAAAAAAAGGGTTGCCCAACGAATTGGGCGACAAAGATATATGCGTTGGAAAGCCCTCGCCAGCGGCGTTCGAACAAGCCTTTCAAAATGGGTCACAAGGCTCTGGATCAAAAGCTATGGACCTATTACCATCGCCACCGAAGGTACTTAACCCCACTAAATCCTCCATATCTCGACAACTGTAAGCGACGTAGTTCAGAGATTCGAAGTAAGAGCGGCGCATCGAGCAAACGGAAATGAGTGCAACTGCAGCAACGTACCAAGGAGTTCTTCCGCTTGGGGCTTGATCAACTCGGAGGGGGGGGGGGGGTGACGCAGACGACCAACAATGCTACAGTAGAGAGTTTGAGAAAACTTAGGTGGGGGAGGGTGACACAGACGATGCCGAGAGAGTTTGAAAAAAAACATGTGCGGGGGGGATGACACAGACGACAAACAATGCAAGAGCGTTTGAGCAAAGTCTACGGAGGGGGTGTGACACAGACGACAAACCATGCAAGAGAGTTTGAGAAAAACTGAAGTGGGCGGAGGGCGACAACAGACGACAAACAGTGCAACAGAGTTTGAGAAAAAATCATGTCGGGGGGGTGACACAGACGACAAACAATGAAAGAACGTCCGACCAAAGTCTACGTAAGCCCTGAACTGTCTATCTTTCATTTGGTCCCGTGCCATACACGAGAGAATCACATCGCGGAGAGCACCAACTTTTGGCACAAAAATTGCAATATTTGGTCGGAATATAAGCGCCGCATTGTCGTATCGCTCACATCCCAAACGGGAATACATAAAAAAAAAAGTGGTTCTCCACAAAAAAAAGGGGAAAGTTGTCTGTGTGCCGTTCGATTTCCACCGTGTGAATGGGAGGTAATTGTTAACTCCGCGCTATGTTCATGCGGTGTGTTCAAGTAGGGCTCTCAGACGGAGGAAAAACCGCTGTGCTACCTGGACACGAGTGGAAAGCGAAGAATTCCACGCGGCCAGTCTTTCTGGCCAGTAGATACAACGCTATTCACTACCGCGAACGGCGAAGAAGGACAACCAAGTCTCTCTGGGCTATGGATCCAACCGTACTCACTAACACCGCTGCCTTGTAAACGTAGCGCACGGCAACTTGCTGTTGTTCGCGGTGACAATGGTATTGTCTCTCGGACGAAGCTCATCTCAAATACCGCCAATGAAAGGCCCACAGCACCAGGCACGGCCGGGACAACAACATTATTAAACTCTTGAGACAATTGCTCTATGAAATACTGCCTGCGCATGCTCGCTCCTCCGCCGACAGATGTGGAAACCAGGATATAGGTATCTTCCCAGGAGTAGGGACGCACATACAACCGTATAGATCCGTGACCCCAGGAACGACGTTCTCGAGGTCTGAAGATCTTTACAACGAAAAGACCCTCCGTCTGCTGTGACCAGCCGGAGGGTAGAAGCGAGCCCTGAAGCTCACTCTCACCTTTCACCCTAGCAAGGTTGACTAACGTCAGCCACGCTTGGCCATTCCTGGCCACATTGCAATAAGAGCGAAATTACCTCCGTTGGTGAACGGTTATTCACCACTTCAGGGACCTTTGCTCATAACAGAGCAAGGGTATTCTCACAGATGCCTACCACGAAAAGGAACATGTCCTTCTTCGACTCGTGCCTGCAAAGGTGCTCCACACGCGGAATTGAGATGTTTTTTTCGTCGCTTCCAACGTTGGTTGCAAAACAAAACAAAAGGTCGATTTGTTGTGCGTACTTGGCGTTCGTCCCATTCGTTCGTCATGAGGTTCTTCGACTCCTTGATGATCCACCCACCCATGATCTGCTGCAGCGTGTTGTGCTCGAGGGCCTCAACCTCGAAGAGTCGTTTCTCCGGAAGGTGTCCCGGCAGCCTCAGACCCTTCCCCTTCGCAGCGGACCGGTACAGGGCGAACGTCACCACCGCCCGGCTGGGCCCGGAAAATGATTGGAAAATTCTTTGCCCGGAGAGAGCTCCCGTTGTGGCTGCTGCCGCCGCCGCCGCCGCCGCCGCCGCCGCCGCCGCCGCCGCCGCCGCCGCCCCGTCGCTGCTGCTGCCCTGAGTCGCGACGGAAACGCGATCCCGATTTTTGGTTGTTTTGCAAGTTCTCAGCTGTTTTTTGCTGTTCTTAATTTTTTTTTGTATGTACGTACTCCTTTGGTTGGGTGGCTGGTCTGTCACCACAGAAGGCGTCTGCGTAAGTTGGACCGTTACGGGCATTAGAAGGGTTATGACCGGAGACCGGAACACAACAACAAACAGCTGAAAGCAAGAGTGGAAAGTTTGGGGCAGGATCGGGGTGGGCGAGGTCTTCCGACATTCTTAGGGTTTAGTTTAGTTCGGTCGAAGCCCGGTGGGAAAGCAGAGAAGAAGAACAATGTGCCTCGGTACGAAGAGGTAAACATGGTGCGTGGCTAGTTGAACGACTTCAAGTCCGCAGGACACTCCTACGTCGAGAATCAAACAACATCCGCAACGACAGAGATGCCCAAGAAAGAACACCATGAAGTTGCTCGAATTCCCGTGCTTGAAATAAAATGGTCTCCTCGCATAGCTGCAAGCCTGCCTTCCGCAAAAGCATTGAATCCCTCCTGCTGGTCATTAGTTGCCGCCAAAACTTACGCGAGGTCTGTTGAATCAATAACACAATACGCAACTCGTCGAACGACAGCAATCAAATTTTTCATTTTCAGTGTTGCACACAGGATGACATTTCCCTTTCACGCACCCCCGCCGTTCGATGTGTCGATGCCCCCGCCGCCATCGCAGCCTCCTCCACCCCCCCCGCAGCACCACCACCCGCGTGCCCCCCCCTCGCCAACGCGCCACCGCCAGCGGCAGAGCCATTTGCAACAGCCTCAGCGGCAACACCGTCTCTAGAGTTAGGAGCCTCGCCCGCCGCACTGCGGGAAAACGCCTCCTCCGCTACCCTGTGGCGCTTTTCCTGCACAAGGGTTTCCGCAAGGTTCGCGAGGGATACGACACGCGGGGCCGGGGGGGCTGTAACCGTCGTCATCCATGACCTCCGTACTCGTACGAGCGTAGACCCTGGTGCCCCACACTAAAAAACGGGGGACAGCGCTTGGGGTCCTCGCCGGCAAGGCTTGGGCAGGGGGGGGGGGGGGGGGACCCAGGTTTGCCTGCCCTAATTTGTTAAC